GATTGGAGTTGATACCGTGGATGTCAAGGTATTTGAGGCTGAAATCAAGAATGACATTCTTGTCACAAGGGGTCAATCACATATTGCTACTAGGGTATATTTTTCTTAATATAATTGTGAATTTCTGTCTGGTAGCCTTCAACATGGTTGTTAATTGCTTCAATAGTTTACATAAATAGAAACATGTTTTCTTTTAAAGTTTTAATTTTTTTGATGGTGATAGAGTTAAGAACAGTGCACAAATGCAACTTACTAAAAATTCACAGCAGCAAGAAAACATCTACACTGGTTTGCCTGGGGGCTTTTATATATTGGTAACCAGTAAAGTATTTTGAGATTTGGGATATAAAATGTAGATGGGCTTCAAACTCTGCAATTGGCCAATTTTGGTGATATGTGTCAACAGTAAGGAACTATTACATGTGACAAAAAAAAAAAAAGTTTGGAAGTGGGGGAAAGGCAACTTCCATGGCATGAAGTGGAGGACATGAGACCAAAAAGTTTCAGTGGAATGAAGAGGACTGAGAAAGAAAGGCATTATGCTAATAATTTTATGTAATAAAAAGCTAAGTCACCAACCTGGATTTGTAAGCCACAGGGAAATTTTCTTTTTCCTTGATCATCCAAATAATTCCATCAGCTTGACACCATCTTGGAGGGCAGTCACAACCTTTGACATGGCATTTCCTCTGAAGTATGATGCAAATAACTCTAACCTGGTGTAAGAAAATATTAGGGATTGGTATCACCATATCATAACAATTTATCATATTGTAATTTTGAATAGTAGTCCCTCACTTTACTGAAAATTTTCTTAAACATTGCACTTGCAGAAATTACACATAGGTAGCATTTGCCTTAGAAAGGTAAAGACACTAGAGCATACTGTCATCATAGGGGCCAATATTCTTTAATTCTAGATCTAAATTGGTAATTCTCCTCACGGTCAATCGTACAACTCTCATAATATTAGTACAGAGAACTAAATATTCGATCAACTACCGGCCGATAACCCGCAGGTAATCTGTTAATTTTTCCACAAACAGTTGTTGGTGCGGGTTATAGGAAGGTGCGGGTAATACAATAATTTTGAAAGCTTCCAGTGTAGTTTGAAACGATAAACAGGAAAAAAAACAGGTGATAAGATACACTACAAATACTCTTAAAAAAACTTGTGCAATAACTCATTTATTTCGCGCAGATTGCTCACCATAATAAGAGACTTTATTGCTCTCGATGAAAACCGATGCAAATCGAAAACATACAAAACATAGCTATATCGAAAACATGCATAACATAGCTTTTATCTTGTTCGTACTCTTACTTTCTTACCTTGTCAATTTCACAGCTTGTTTCTTTGTTTAGTTCAAAAAAACAAGTCTCACCTACACGGGAAGTGAACTTGAAAATAAAAGAATTCAACTGATGTGAAAAGGCTGGCTTCAGGGCAATTCACACGGTAAATGATGCCGACATGATCATTTCGTGGCGCCGTATAATAAATTAGCGCAACAGAATATTCGACGCATCAGAGGAATTTCCCCAGCTAGCACCGCTTTGAGGTAAAGAGTATTTCCCGTTTCAAGCGATTTCTCCGACCCAGTAGATCTCGTGCTATCGATTTTTCAAAGAACAGATTTAAACAATTGGTATCATTCTCAACGAAACAGCGAAGACAAAAAGTGTGAAACTTTTTTAATTGCACGCTATAGGATATTATGTCAACAAAAACAATGAGGGAACTTTGCAGGAGTCGACGATTTTCTTTTGCTTTTGGGTGCGGGTTATCTGCCAGTGTGGGTAATCTGTTGAAATTTTTTCTCGTTACTGCAAAAATTGACCAATGCGGGTAATCTGCCGCGCGGGTAATTGGACGGAAATTACGGTAATTATCCCCAATTTGATATTTTTCTTTATTCATGTCTCTTGTCTGGTTGATATTGTATTGTTATTGTAAGGAGAAATTCTGTCCTGGTCACTCATTGGAGTTTAGGGAGTTTAATTCGGAGACCAGTGTGAAGTTTACATTTTATCTGAGAGGGTAACAAATATGTGGATAATTTGTTCTTTTCCTCCTGGAAAAAGTTTGGCTTTCACTCTTCCAACCTCTTCATCAAAGGTTATGATAACAGTATGAAAAAGCAATTTAAGAATAACTGGTTTTTCCATTGATTATGCAAGCATTGAAATAGCTGAGTAAGTGCGTTTCCTAGTAGAGTACATCCGGCGTTCTATGGTATCAGAGAAAGAAAATTAGGGCACTCACGAAAATAGCATACAAACTATTCCAGCTATGCCTTTAAAGATCTACATTTTCGCGGAGTCTAATAAGGAATAATATGGGTCATTAAATTTACTTTTAAAATTTTGATCGTTAAGCGGAAAAGGAGCTTT